TGAATATATATTTAGCTTTTGGAAGAAGTTAAATTTATTTGCTAAACAGGCCTCTCTGCTTTTAGGAACTTATGCTAATTCAGCTAGCTTTAATGGCCAATGTCTCTTTGACTTTATTTGTACCGAAGTCCAGAATGGAGCCCAAAACCTCTGCTGATTTAAATCAAACCAAAACATCCCCAAACAACACACAGGAAAATACTCCACAGCTGATTTCAGTAGTGCTGGCCAGATGGACATCAGGTAAGGATTCGTACTTTTCTGTGCATTTGGCACCTTAAGTAATTTACAGTTGTGACAGGGAGGTGTTTGAAGGTGATGCCTTTGGCATGTATTAAGTGTTTTAGGGTTGCAAAGGAGTTTTGAGTAGGGATCATTGTTGCTTTCCAAAATACTCATGCTTTAGACTCCAATGTAGTATGGTTTTTCTTCCTCTTCTGAATGTGACTTTGTTTTTCGAAGTGGAGTGAGATACTTTATCCTGGTTTTTTATAATAACACTAAGGCTGTAAAGTCTATAGTTTTCCCACTTCAAAAAATAAAAAGCTTAGCCACAGTTTTAATCAGTACTCAAGGGAAAAACAGACTTGAACAGAAAAATAATGTACATAATCATCAGAGTAATCCTGTCATCTGATCTGAAGCAGAAAATTGATTTGTTTTAGGAAAGCTATAAACCTTTTAGAATTGAAGCCCAGGCACATACAGTGGAAGGTGTTCTGCTCTGTCAGTAAGTTCATGCATAAGAAAATGAAATAGAGAGAGGTGTCTTGGGATGCAGTGCTTCACATCTATGGCATAGAGTTAGAGTCTAGCAGAGGGCTCCCATCATGGTCAGGGGGCTGGCACACATGTAGGAATAGAGAGCTGTGTTTGTTCAGTTGTAGGAAGAGAAGGTTAAGGGAGATCGTACTGCTGTCTTCAACTATCTATTGGGAAGAAATAGAGAAAGTGGAGCCAGATTCTTGCAGGCACTTGGTGATATGTTGAGAAGCAATGGACACAAGTTGGGACATGGGAAATTCTCATTAGATACAATTTTTTAATTTACTTATTTTTTTTACCACAAAGGTGGCCAGCTATTGGAACAGGGGCCCTGAGAACTTGTGGGATCATCCATCCTTGGAGATGCTCGAAACTTGGCTGGATGAAGCCCTTATGTAGTTTGACCTGCTTTAAGGGAAAGGTTAAACTATAGAGGTTCCTTCCAAACTAAGTTATTAGTTAGGAAATAAGGGGCAGCTTGGGGAAAGCAGGCAAGAAAGTCCTAGAGAGAAATTAGCAGGATCAATTGCTGAAATAATGCTGTTGCTAAGTTTTCTTCCCTCATTCACAAATGGTGCTTTTTCTCTGGTGTATGGAATGGCTTTGTTCCTAAACTTCAAGGAGGAGTTTGCCCATAAGGTTGTCTCCCTATTGCTGATTGGCAGTGCCCATACTAAATCGAGGTGATTGCTGTGGCACTGTGGGGTGCTGTCTGTCTCTGGGGTGAGAGTGTGGTGCTTAACCAGTGTCTCAGCAGTGTTCATGCAGTGTGCCACTTGGTCACCACCGGGTCACTGTGTTCCTCCCCTCTTCTTTTTCTGTTGGAGAGGGTATTTTGCATTAAGATGAAAGAGATGAGATAAACTAATTTTAGTATCAGAATTACCAAAGACTTCAAGATATTACTAATCAGTTATAATTTAACCTTAGCACCCAGGCATGTATAATACTGAAAACTTTTATTAGGTTTCTGTAATTGTGAAATTGCCAAGCTCTGTGCATGACAGCACTGACCTGATAGTACTGCTTGGGGAGCGTGGTTTGCTCTTTGCTGGTCTTTTAATGCTCTGTGTTTTACATCGGGCTCCTCAACTGTCAGGGCCTTAGTGCTGTTTCTATTTAGGTGTGCCCTCTGCATCATTTTGGCTCTGGACCAACAAAAACTAATCTTCCAGGCTCCTGGAGTATTCATCAGAGGAGATAGCTGCGTGGGGAATCCCAGGAGTACAGTTCCGGTTGAGATACCCATATTCTTCTTAAAGCTTTCTGGAGGAGATGCAGGTTCCTGTGGTGCCTCGGTTCAAAGGGAAATGCTAGTCACAGCACCTTGCCAGGACTGGCACGTAGTCAGCATGGAGCACTGTGTATTTCAAACCCTTTTGATACAGATCCGAGCTTTGCAAAAGCCTTTCCAACAAAAATTCAGAGGGCTGCTGTAAGGAGAAATGCTGTAAGTAACAGCAGCCCGGCGCTGCAGATGCTGAATAACGTTTACAACCCCTCTGCTCAGACACCTATCTGCAAAACTGACTTAGTTGCTCAGCAGTCTGTACTATAATTTCGCATACACTTTGTGGTGCCAGCTCAGAGAAGTGGTCCTTCCCTGACCCCCAGTTCCTTGTGACACAAAAAACATATGTTCATGGGGGAACTGGATCAGGGAACCAATCCAAGTTAAAATTAGCCTGGCCAAGAAGCTAATTTCAACGTGGGACAGCTTCTCTGGCAGATGAGAGCAGGCGAGCGTGCCCAGCCGGTGACGAGCGCACAGCCCTCCCGCTGCTGCTTTTAGCAGCCTGCTGGCTTATGCCAGTGTGCAGTGGTCTCGTCTCAAGGGCTTTCAGCGGGGTTTAGGACTTCAGATTTGAGTGGGCAGAGTTGTTGTTTTCCTATTTTTGAGGTTATATCGAAGCGTGAAACAAATTCACCTCCAAAATGGTTTCCTGTGTCAGACCAGTCTGTGACTTTAATGTGTGTTTGAACTGATATAAAAATACAGGTTTGTTGAAATATTTCACTTTGGTTTTGACCTTTTTGATGTAAATTCGCTGCACTTTCAAATGAGAGTTGTAAACTGGAAGCAATATTTTCAAGTCAAATGAGATGTTTCAACCAGCTTAGTGTTTTTGTATTTTTTTTTCCTGGGAAGGGAGATTAATTGAAGCTCCTCCTTGCAGTTTTGGTCTCAATGAGCTGTTGGCCTGCAGCTGGCCCTGAGCACAGCCTGGTTGTTTGGATGTTTCTCTACTGCTTTTCCAGTGTGCATCCTTGTACCCTTTTGTTTTTCATCATCGTCAACTGTATGTGGAGTCTTGCTATGTGTTAACCTGCAAGGCTGGATGGTGAGGATTAATGCAGTGTAATTGCTCATTAATATTCCCATCCCAAGGCCTGGTCCTGTGCTCTGTGGTGACCTGGGTGAAGTCCTCTGGAGGAATATGGCCTTTTGGAGAATTGGGGCTGTTTCCATCCATTCGTGCCCTCTGGTCCCATTGTTGCTGTGTGTGGAGGGATTGCCAGCAGTGTTCACAGCGATTTAAAACCAGAGATCCCCTTGGGCCCAGAGGGGTGGTGGGCTGCCCTGGGGAGGCGGTGTGGGACAGGCCAGCTCTGGGTCTGGCGGCAGGGAGTGTGCCAGTGCCTCGCTGCTGCCTCAGGCCTGACCTCCCACTGGGCTGCTGTCAGGCATGGGTGGGAGTGGGGAGATTGGCCCCTGGTGCAGCACTGGACTTCCTGGGAAGGGGTGTCTCCCTCCTCAGAGCCGTGCGGAGGCCTCAGGGTTGGGGATAGAGGCAGGCACCTGCGGCCCCTATCCCTCAGAGCTGCCGTTTCCACCTCAAGGTGGAGGGAAGGTAATGCCTGAAACATGTTGGCGCAAGGCTTCCTGCTGGGGTGTTCTTACAGGTTTTACTGAGAAATTGCATTGGAAATATCTGCTTTTTAATATTGTGTGACTATTTTGACTCTGGTATTTTTTTATGCATGCCTTTGGTTTTGGATTTTCTCTACTTAATAGTCCTTTGCTTTTTTTCCCTCCCCTTCTTAAAACATATATTTGTTAAGCACCAGAATATATTTATCTATAGTCTGTAACAGCTCCTTTCTGGAACTTTCTGGCACCTGCAAATCCTGTGGTATAGAGCAAATAGACCCTGAGTGTCCATCACAAGTCTCTGTGAGGTAGGTTTCCTAATCAAGGACACTAAACTTACTGAAGCACATGCAACGATGAAATGATAAAAAAAAATTCCACAAAAATTAATTTTTTAATCAACTTTCAGCTTTCTCTGTAGTTGTGAGGTGGGAGTGGATTCAGTGCCTTTACATTACATATAGGCAGGCTAGAACTCGGTTTCAAAATATTCAAGGTTACTGTTAAGTAGATGGAGATCTACTAAGTTTAAAGCCAGTTCTTTTTGGTTCAGGTGAATACTTGTTGACTTTCACTACAAGTTAAATCTAGAAATTGAAATAGCAGTCTCTAACTTCCCAGGGGTTGTAGGTTTGGGTCTTTCTCAATGTGGAATCAGTTTCTTAACTCTGGCTCTAGACAGCTGAACTCAGGCTGTTGCAGAAATCAATTCTATTTTTGTGGCAACTATTGCTGCTTGTTTTGTTTTGAAATCTGATTCAGAAAGGAACTAAACATGTTAAAACTAGAGAGAGAAGGAGGGGGGAAAAAAGCCACTCCAGCTACCACAGCTTTTAGAAAACTCAAATGCCCCTTTTTTTTTTTTTTTTTTTTGGGTGAGCTGCTTAGGAGCTCAAAGATTTTTGAGAGGCTTCCCCAAGTGTAAGAGGTGAATAGGTGGTTCCTTGAGGCACTACACAGGTGAATATTGGATTGGATAATTTGAGGCATGGTTTTCACTCAGATATTCAAGTTATGATGCCCTTAGCACAAGATGTATGGTGGAAATGTTGCCCCTCTGAGTGTACATTTTCAGTCATTCTGCTGTGCCCTTGACTGTGTTTAGATGATTTTGTGCCCAATGCTCTTAACAGTGTAAAGTAAGTTTGCAGCTGATAATGTGAAGTTAACCAAATTTAGGTGAAAGTTTTATAAATTAGTGTCCTTGAGACAATAACTATTTCACAATGTCATTCCTTATGGGTTGTGTTTTATTTCAAAATTTTAAACATGGTGGGTTTTTTGACATTAAGAAGCATTATTTACTTTTATGGTGCAAGTTGGAAGGTTTTCTAATTATTGTGTTTTTCTTGTTTGCTTTAAGAGTCAGATTTACAGATCTGTCAACATAGAGCACCAACGTGTTGCACCAAAAAAATGGAAGAAAGCTACCAGGCAGCTGTTCGAAGGGAGAGGACTCAAAGTATCCAGGCACTGAACTTTGAACTGAAGTATATGATTGTTGGTCATATCACAGCTTTTCAAGGTAGGAACTTTTGAGCTACTGCAGTCCTATGAGTAGTTTATAAAAGTATCCTCTGCAATCAAAAGGAAATGCTCTTTCCTTTGTTTTTCATTTCTCTTGCATCGCATGCTGTAGTTACTGTCTTATGGTTTACTTTCTTGTTCTTTGATGATCCTGCTTTTGGAAAAAGGTGATGGCATTTAATCTTGACTGCTATTTTAAGCATCTGCTGAAATCTAACTAAGAATAGATTTAAGCTTAGACCTTGTTCTTGGGATCATTTTAAAAAAGATTGGCATGGGTTTTTTTTCAAGGCATTTTCAAATGTCATTTAGGTGCCTGATGGCTGTTTGTGCTTTTTTATATTCTCTTGTGTTGCCAAACCATTTACAGGTGTAGAAGGTTAAATGAAAATGCATTTGTTTGTTGATGCTGAAGAATAAGTGCTCTAACTGATATGTCAAGTGAGAACACAGCTCTCTCTTCATGTCAAAATGTTTCACTACCTGGGAGGTCACATGAAGAGTGATCTGTTTTCAGGAGTTATGGCTGCACTGTTAAATGTGAATGCATGAAGGAACCTGTGCTGAAAGTCTGTTCTCAAAGCTACCTTGGTCTAACAGGTTGATGTAAGTCTATGTAGTTTCTTCATACAGATGGTTATTGTACTATTAAAGGGAGGACAATGCTTGTGTAGGATTGTGCACTATACAGTGTTGAGCACTGGAGACTTTTCTCCAGAAGGGCCTTTAAGCATAGGCTGTGAACTTTAAATATATGAGAGTTGAGTGATTAAATCAATCGCCGAGTGATGAATCCAGCTTACTGACTTTTGTGGGCCTAATTATGTGCTTAATTTTAACTCGTTGCTTTGCTATGTTTAGTGCTGAGCACCCTCATGGAATGGATTTGGAAAACAAGCCAGTAGTTATTAAAATACAAAGTGTTGAGGTCTGTATGATTAAGTCAATTGTTACAAGGCAGGTTTTATCAAATAGTAGCTTTTTTTTGTCTAGTTTCTTCCATTTGAGTGAAAATACTATAAATAAAAGATGTGATTGACAGTTAATAAGAGATAGTGTATTATCTAAAATTGACAATAAGTGATGGTGGAAGTCTGAAAGGGATGTGCAAGGGCAAGATAAAAATTTTCTTCAGCTTTTGGTCGTTTACCTCTTTTTTTCCTCTGGTACCAATGAGTGAGAAATTGCATTTTGGTTTATTTTACAATTAATTTTTGAAAATTTTTAATATCCCCCATGGTTAAAAAATTTGGTTGGAGGGCACTTTGGAGGAGTACTGTAGTAAAAGAGTGACTGTTGGCGTTGTTATATGCTGGTAAGTTATTCAAGCAATCTTTCAGTATCACGATGGAATAAAGATAAGGTCAGAATAGATTAACCTACCAGCCCCTTTAGGTCAAGCCAGAGGCTTTATTGTCCATTGCTGATGAAGCCTTTTGATGCAATGAAAGAAGTAGTTAGGCATTTCACACAGTTTAAATTTACAAGCATTTTCTGGAAGTGGGTAAATAGGTTGTTTGTTGTAACTTGTTATGGCTGGCCTTCTGTCTACATTAGGTGGGAACACTTGAAAAATGTAACTTTTTTCTCTTGTGTTGGGAGCTGCTTTTGTTCTTTCGTTTTGTCCCAGGTGTCAGTGAAAAGCCTCTCTCTTTATCTTGTGCTGTATAAACATTCTGTTGCTAAGAGTAGTACTGTGTGAGACATTTACTGAGAGGGAAGATCTTTGCATTGAATTAACTCTGTCCTTTTGGTCTGTTTTGGTTTGTTGCTATTTTGAATGATAAAGTGCAAGTGTGCCAAAAGCACACTTAAAATCTGAGAAAAGAAATATCCTTATTTTAGAAGCTTTCAGTTGCCTTTCAGATTTCATGTTTATTGCAACAGTGAGAACTGGCTCTGCCTTGCTAAAAAAATAGCAATTTATTCATTTGTATGTGGTGGTGTGTTTACTTGTACAATTTTCATGCACAATTTACTTTCTTTTATATATACACATTTTTAGTACTGTTAGTGTAGTCAAAGCAAAGCAGTAGTTAGCCTTGCTGCCTACTGCTGAGGAAAAGAAATTTTAACTGCTTTTTATGTACTTTTAGCAGACAATACTGTTGATATTATACTCATACTGATGAAATAATTTTCAAGACTAATACGGTATAAGAAATGGGTTTTCAGAAGTCCAGCTTTGAGAACACAGTGGTGGGAATTAAATTTCACTGGGAAAAGAGAGCAGCTTTTTTGGACGGGGGGGACAGAGAAGGTTTTTTTAAGTTCTTATCTCCTTATTTTTTTTCATGAAGTCAAAAGACACTTAGTTCTGAGGACCTGCAATTAGATACCACAAGTATTAATAGGAAAGAGCTTTATCATGTGAGTAGGAGTTTTGCTATGAGTTTGGTTAAATATTCCCTCTGCATTGCCTGGGTACTGCAGTTGACTGGGGACATTCTGGACTTGAAGAGATTTTGTTTTGGTTTTTCTTCTTGAAATTGAAAATGTTATTTAAGTAGCTTTGCCCACAGCTGAAATAAGACAATTTTCACAGGTGCTGGATTTAGTTGTGCAAAATAATTAGTCTGTAAGACTTGATTAAATATACTACAGCTGTGGGCAGGCTTGTTATATTTGGGCTAATGCCCGATCTGTACAAATGGACAGCCTTAGCACCATGGTTCAATCCTGCTATTTTTCCCCCCTTAAAGTTTTCAATATTAGCAACCCAGTCCTTGCTCAAACACTTAATAAATCAAGCTTCTGCATGGATGTGTTTTGCTTGAACTCCTGTCTCTAATTATGTTGCTGTTACACCTGATTTGAGTAGGAAGAGGCATGCTGGCATCAGCTGCAGGTTGTAAAATGCCCTCACCATTAGTACCAGGACAGGAGGAAGGGCGAGAGGCAGGAATGAAAGGGCCAGCTGGCTGCTTGGGAAGCATGTCATCAGACTCAGCTACTGCAAAATCATACATTGTCACAAAATCTTTTGGGTGTTTGGCATGTTGAATGTAACCATGCCCCTGGGGGAGGGTTTCATGGAAAGCTGCTGGATTCACTTTCTCTTAATGTTTTGGTCCATGGTGTAGCCTGAAAGTCATTAACCATGGTATTAGTCACTCTACAGATGTGTTATTAATGACTCTCTGCTCCAAACAGAATCAAAGGCAAGATGGAGTAAGTGGATAAGATGTGTAAGCGTGCCAAACTGTAATAGTAACAGCATAACAGAGGAGAATGTGCCTGTTGTAATGATCCTAGTATGTCACCCTCTGGCTCTTCACAGGTGGCTTTGTTTTGGATGCATTTTGGAGCGGGTCTGTTTGTCCTATCCAAAGATGTGCCCATCTTCCTGTCTTTGCTCCTGTGGCTGCAGCCTGAAATCCCCAGCAGAACCATTTAAATGAATTATCAAACAAGATGCTTTCATTTTGTAACTCGCTTTCCCCTAACCAGAAGATTCTCTTTTGAACTTACTGTTTTCTTTGTCCCAACCCTTTTTAGGCTTGAATGTAAACAAATATATTGTTTTAGCTTAGATTTATGTCTTTGTGGTGATACTACATGTAACTTAGCATAGTCATCCTTCTATTTCCCCCCCCAATTCCCTCGTGCAGTCCCTGCGCTCCTCAGGAACACTTCCAAGCAAGGCAACTGATTCATTGTTAGTGGATTAAAAGTGGCACGGGTGTGCAGGCTGAAAGTTGCTGTCAGAAGAGGTATCAATAGTCTGACAGGAAAGCTTTGTTGTGGGCAGATAGCAGAGAAACCTGCCCTCCCTTTTCTGTGTCCTTTATGGAGTGCAAACAGGTGCCACTTAAGGACCCACAGAAAGCTTGGCTCTGCTCCTGTCATCTATGCTGAGGCTAATTTGGGGTAATGAGAGTCCAAACACTGGTAACTTATTTGTTCTGCTGATGGTCTCTGCAGAGAGGCAGAACAAGATACTTTGAAACCTACATCACATTTCTGTCACCAAATTGGCAGGTATCAGAGATACAGTGAAAAGCTTTGTTTGAGCTCAGCAGTTTAAAAAAAAAAATACTACGCTGCACTTTTTGTTTTTACAGCAGGCAATAGGAATTGTTCACTCACAGCCTCTGAAGAGAAAGCTTTTTCATGAATGAAAGCTTGTTGGTCATAAAGCAATAATTTTGTGTTGTTTCTCTGAAATAGCATTCATTCTACCTTGGGGGGTCAAATGGTGGGGCCAGGTGTTCCCATATTCTCCCAGCTACAGGAGGGTAGATCAGCTTTGTAGCACTCTGTTCCTCTCACTCCTAAGTCAAGGGGTTTGGGAAAGCTGTGCTTATGCTGTGCTTTATATGGAATGGGGAGATGCTAGTTGGGAAAGCTCCTGCTCCACGTTTCTAATAGCAGGAGTTGCAGTGACATTGCTGTGCACACACATTGTTTTGCCCTGTTATCATCTGATCTAAGCAGGCAACTGGAAAGGACATGAATGCTACAACGCAGAGGGGGGAACCTAGTTGTAGCAGGGATGGAGCCCAAGACTCCTGGTTGTCAGTGAAATGCCTGAAAGTTAATGCCCAGTTGATCCAAAAAGTCCTTAAGCACAGTTTTTGATCTGGCATCCTCCCTGGTGAATGGGAAGGGTCGGCTGATTTCTCTGGGTCTTGGGATGGATACTAGTAGTGGGCCCAGTAATCAACTGATGTGAACATTCCCAGAAATAAGTAATATAGTACACTGACACTCAGAGCCATATGGAGTCAAAAGCATTCTCCATTTTAATTTGGCTGAGTTGCAGCATTGCTGACACTTATTTTTACTGAACTTAGGAATACCAGCTTGAAATAGGGGTGGCTGGTTAATGGTGTTGAAGTGCAAAGAAATTTACAAAACAAAAAAGGCTTGGCTGGAGAAGTGCGTTCTGGTTTGTGATTAATTACTATATCAAGTGTAGTCACAATGCTGGAGATGGATGCAGTCCAAAATCAATGAGCTATTTAAAAAAAAAAAAGCCAACCATCACCAACAGAA